GGAAATCGTCTTTCATGACAATATGGTGAATTGTTACATAAAACTTCTATACTTACGTTAATTATTTATATTGTTGGTATTATATGTTGAGCGCATATGGCAATATTTCGAGAAGTATTTAAAGAGGGCCAGGTATATGTGCTCCGCAACTATGATGTTGAATTCAATCACGGGAGGTACAATGCACTGAATAGAAGAACTCATTTGTTCAAATACGAGGGGAATTTTCCTCACATCTAATGAGTGGCTAGAGACCGAGAAGATTAGAAGCCGTTAAAAAATACTGATGTAAGTATATTTGTTCAATTTACTATGCTTTTTCTGCACGCCTTTCTTAGTAGTTTGTGATATTTATTGTTATTCCATGTCGTTGAAAATTCTGAATTCTATTATTAATTTTATTGTTATTATATTTAATATCGGTGCATATATTGATTGTTATTATTCGAAGTTGTATATAAATAATAATTTTAATAATCTTTTTTTATTCAAAGCTGTATATACATTAATACTTAAAATGTTAAACGCAAAAATAAGGTTGAAATAGACGGGTCAACGAATTCGATTAAATATTTATGGAACTTGCTTAAAACATCCGAAAGTATCTACTTACAAAATTATTAGGAATTGACTGCAAATCTTTCAAATATGAAATATTGTATTTAGTATTTACGTACAAAAATAACTGAATAATATAAATTACACCAATTGGTTATATTGTTTCCTTATATTAATGTATAGAAACCTATTTAATATAATATAAAACACATATAAATTTAATATACATCTTATCCCAAAATGAGATTAGATGCAGTCTTTATCTTTTGTAATATATTATTATTTCAACGCGTAGGAGATATACATATATAATGAGATATACGCGTAGGAGATATACACGTTTAAAGAGAGACGATGCATTCATTATTTTTTAAGTATATTTGATCAACCGGTTTTATTATAGATATAATATATGTAGGAGATATTGCAATTAATATTTACGTACTATATTAATACATTTAAGTATGGAATCTTTCATATATAGATTTTAAATTTTTTGTTTTACTTCTACTATAAATAAATTAACTAAATTTTGGTAGAATACCATATTATAAGATATAAATTAATAAATTAATATTCAAATGTTGAAGGCAATAGTAAACCAGTTATATTATTTCCTAATATATGTAGGATAAATTGCAATTAATATACACGTTTATAGAGTTTGTTATGCATTCCATAATTTTTAACTGCATAATCAACCAGTTTTATTATTTCCGAATATATGTAGGAGATATTGATTAATATTTACGTACAATATTAATACATTTAAGTATGGAATCTTTCATATATAGATTTTAAATTTTTTTTTACTTGTACTATAAATTAACTAAAATTTGGTAGAATACCATATTATAAGATATAAATTAATATATACAATTAATAGATACATACGGTACCCATGCGATGCAATCTTCCACGAATATAACAAGTACATACGGTACCCATGCGATGCATTCTCCAAATTCAAAATTAATTGAAAATTTTAGTTTGCAGTGACGGTGACTCGCCGCCAAATCAAACGAAAAACGTTGCGTACAAAATAATTTTCAATAATTTATGAATTTTGTAGTTTGCGCCCAACGTTTTACTTTTGTTACAAATATAACAAGTTCATTAAATTTAATATTTAATATTAAAAAATGTTTAGAAATATACCATCCCGTGCATCGCACGGGCAATTACTAGTATGTATAGATGTTGTTGTGTACTTATATGAGAATTAATTAAAAAATAAATAAATCTTATGTTCTGTTATTCTAATTATTAATAAGACGATTAATTTTTCTCACAAGTATCATAATTTCATTGAATCATTGTAAACAAAGATATGATACTTAACAATAAAAGTATATATTTTTATTTGATGAGTATGCCAAATCGAGTCTAACCATTAAAAATTATAATAAAATATATGTATCGATTGTTAGGTGGAGTAAATGCATTACCGTCTCACTCGGACTCGCATTAATTCCCGCTCCCACTTTTCAAGCTAACAAAACAATAAAAACAAAAGCAAAACACGACAAATTCAACTGCACTAGTTTTTGTCCCGTGCATTTGCACGGAAAACTATATGATACATGAAAAAATAATAAAAATTATAAACAATAGTAAAAATCATAACATATTCATTGAAAAAAATTAAGAAAAAAAATATAAATATTCTTAAACACTTCTTTATAAAACAACGTCGTGGTTTTTCTATCGTCAAAATCTCCCTCAGCTCAAATTAAAATCTTCAAACCCCACTGACTCGTAACTCTAAAAAGCGCCACGTATAATTGCTCATGACTAAATGCAGAGCTCTTCAGTAGTAAGCCGACGTGCGACAGAGACTGTCTTTGACTCTTATTGATCATGTCATAGCATAGGAAACACTTTTTTATATTGTTTGTCCTCGACTCTTATTGATTGATAGAGATTGTCCTTGCTTCTTAATAAAAAAAATACCATCTAAATATAAATGAATAAATATAATATTAATTTTTTATATAAACAAAAAAATTAAAGTAATTGATAATGAGTATAGAATTACCTTTGCGGATTCAAGTTATTTCAACGATGTTCTTTCTATATATCTAAGATTTAATTTTTTTTCTGATTTATATGAATATAAGCATATTTGACTAATTTTTATAAAATTTATTGAAAAAAGTTACTATTTTTTTAAAAAACTGATAAGATATTAAGATAATACTGTACTTAACATAAATGTGAGATTAATTAAAATAATTTTTTTTAATTTAGTCATTAACTAATTAAATTTAACTATAAAAAACCTTCTTAAATGTGAGATTAATGAGTAATTAATTAAAAAAATGTAACTCCTTTTGGAGGGAAAATGAAAATATTTTTATTAAATGTTTTATTAAATGGGATTAGCTAGCAATTATATATATATAGATTTCGTCCGAATTTCACCTAAATCTGCACTGAATGTTAGGACCATTGTATAAAATTGAAATTACTTTTTTACCCATTGACTTGGTAAAATTCTTGTGCCCTCCCTTCTATAGTGCTAAAGTGACCTTTTGGCCCCTAACCAGTACGTCAGGGAATAATTCAGGAATAAAAGGAGCAGCTACCTTTTTTTTTTCTTCTTATCTAATATTTTATAAAAATGTTGAAAAATATAGATGTAGATAGAGATGTTAAATGGTCCTTGTTCCGACGGGCCGACCCGTTTAGCCCGAAAAAAACAGGGTTAGGTCCTTTTATTAGTAGTCCATTTAAATTAGGGTTTTTTAGGCCCGGACCGTTTAGCTTGAAGTCCGCTAGGGCTAGCCCGGAACCCGCTAGGGCTTGGGCGGTGTAAATGTTTGCATTAAGTAAGTAATATGCTCTTAGATTTCTTGTATATTACAATTTTGCTATTCCACTCCACATGTAAGTATGAGTTGTAATAGATTATTATGATTTTGAAAGATAATTATTAACAATTTTGTTATTGTATAAAATACCAAAATATTTAAGCCAATCAGAAAGACTAATAGGAAACACATGAAACATAGTGATAGACGATAAATAGTAAATAGTCGTTGAAAACAATTGTTAACTAGCCGCTGTAATTTCTTTTTTATATTTTACTCTTTTTATTTTTTATATATTATTATTATTATTATTATTATTACTATTATTATTATTACTGTTATTATTATTATTATTATAGTCCGCATAGCCCGAAGCCTGCTAGAATTAGGGTTAGGTCCTTTTTTTGTAGCCCGTTTAAATCTGGACTTTTTAGACCCAGACCGTTTAGCCCGAAATCAGCTAGGGCTAGCCTGTTTCACATCTCTAGATGTAGAGTATCATTAAGGTGATTGGCTAAAAAGATTTGTGTTTGAACTTTAGAATATGACATTAAGAAAGTTAATTTCTATTTTAATATTCTTATCTTATAATCCTTTTTTAATATATGAGTCCACCCAATTTTAAAATGTGATAAATTCTTAATTAGACACTTTTAATCGTAATAATTGGGGAGTTGGTACAAAATTAGAGGGGCAGGAACATAAATACACGCTACTTTAGGGGGCTGAAGTATAATTTTACCGTGCTCTCAAGAAATAATTAATTAATTACTACATTTTATCCGAAAATATGTCACAAAAGAATCGGATCACTTTTTGTTTTTTCTATAAATATCCCCACCTTCCTCTCTCATTTTGCCCCTTCAGAATTTTAGTTATATCGCTGCTCTTTATGTGTGTATGTTAGAGAGAGAGACAGAGAGATAAAGAGAGAGGAGTTGGTGGTGCTGTTGGCTTCGTTTTGGGCTTGTTCTCACTGTGTAAGTTATGATTTTTTTGAATTATTGGAGCATTTTTTTAATTGATTTTGGTTTGTAGGTCAGATATAAACAGATGCTTGTGCAGTGTGTGTTTGCAGAAAGTTGCATGGAGGATCATTAGCTGTTAATCTCTGTTGAAATTTCTGGGTTTTTGGATAAGATCCGGTTATTATGGTTATTGTTATCCGACAAGAATTCTAAGTAATTTGGTTTTTGCGAGGTAGATTTTGAAAATTGAGCTTGAATTGGTTATTATGGTTGTTGTTATCCGAGAAGAATTTAGTATTTTGGGTTTTTCGAGGTAGAATTTGAAAATTAAGCTGCACTATGGAATTGAGTGAATAATAGTGAATAAATCGACGATGTCTAATGGGGTTTTGTACTTCATTAAGCTGTACATGAGCTTACGAAACATATGGATTCGTTAGTTGGATAGAATCATGGAGTTCAGTCAATAAAAACTGGACCGCATTTGGTTCAGTATCCTGTTATGCATCTTCATATAGTCATATTTGAGCTAATTCTTCAAGCTGGAATGTCGGTAGTCCTGTCTGTTTAATTGTTTGTATAATGTCTCTGGGATGTTATTTCCCCTGTTGGCTCTCTTCATCTCTTAGTTATTCAATTTCCTTTTTCTTGCCGTTGAAAGTATAATTCGGTATTGCTTTGGGATAATGGTGCTTGTGAGTAGCATTATTAGTCAATACATGCTGAGTTATGAAATATCGCATCGGGAGATATCAGATACGCCTGTTATGTATGAGCATCTTGGTTTACTATTAGCAAACTCTCGCTTGTGTTATCCGTTTTGTGTGAGGGCTAATGGAATTGGTATTGAAAGCAGAAAACGCTACTAGTATAGTCAACTTTTTTCGTCTAGAAAAGCTCAATCTTTTATGGGATGAGCAATTGCTTCTTCATTTGAACCAAGAATAACCTCTCTCTAGAACCAAAAATGATCCTTTAACATCTCAGCTTCATACCCCTCAAAACTAAATGATTGTCCTCTTGTTTTGGGTCTGCAGAACATCTGTGTCCACAACTTGGGAAGGTGGGGGATTACTTTGACGATATAACACTACATTCTACTGAACCGAAAAAAAAAATGGAGGTATTTGGCAAATCTATGGTAGCTGCCCCTACCAATGTTATTTACCTGTCTAGTATTCTTGGGCTGGACGGGCCCCAGCCCGTCCACAAGTGTGACTGGAAATGTCAAAACGAACAAATCTGTGGCAACATGTATCGATGCAGGCTAACTGGGCTGACCCATGTTTGTGACAAAAACTGTAACCAGAGAATCTTGTATGACAATCATAGCTCCCTCTGCCGAGTGAGCAAACAGGTTTTTCCTCTGACGCTAGTCGAGCAACAGGCTGTGAAGGGTGTCCGGAGGAAGCTCGATTCTGAGGGCGGCTCGGGAGAGACATGTGGCTTCAAGCGGAGGAGGGATAGTCAGCTTTGTCCGTCACCTTTCGAGAGATCGTTTAATTCTGTGGGGCCTATATGCAGTCCAGTTGGCGATGGCATGGATACGAACTAGAATGTTACATAATTTTGCTAATTTTCACTTATGTCCCCGTCTGTTTTCCCTTGGTCTTATTTTTGCCTATTATGAATTAAGGACTATGAAGGAAAAAAGAACTCTACTGTTTTATTTGTGTTGTGGCTATAACAATGTCACGAGACTCGTAACTCCTAGGATCTTTATGATTCTATGTTTGATGAACTTATTGAGAAGTTTGAGCTAGTATGCTATAAGGCAAGGTTATGTTAGAATGCCTTGTTTTGATCTATTTTATGGTGCACTACTAGTTGTTACCCTCTTCTTGCTTAATTGTTTTCATTTTCTTTCTTCTTTTGCTTCTGGTCTGTTGTACCCTGTTATCTATATTGATGACTTCAGCTCCTCCACTGTGACCTGAGGATCTTTCAGATTCTATTGGCAGAAGTGTACAATATTTTATTCATGAATGGTGTAATATTATACATAGATCTCAGGTGTACTGTTTGATTGTTTTGTTCTTCAGGTTGGGAGGAGCTTTATTATCTGGTAAAAGCTATTTCTGGTTAACATTTTACTTCCTTTTTACATTTTTGCTGCAGGTGAAGGGGGAAGATTGTATTTAATTTTGTCTTTTGCTTTGCTTCATTTCCTTTTGAATTTCTGTTCTTATTCTGGTTGGTGTAAAAGTTTGTCATGCTTAACTGGTTTGTCATTTTTGCAGGATTGGAAGCGTATGCCATTCAGATGTGTTTTTCCTTTTTCTTTTTTTTTTTTCTTTTTGTTTTCTCTTTTCTTTTTTAATATTGTTCATTCGTTTGTTGTACTAATGAATTTTACAGTAGCAGTAAACTGATTCGGGTTTTTGTGAATATTCTAAATTTATTTCTCTTTCGTGCAGGAAAAAAAAAGGTCGTGCTTTGTCAATTGCAGCTTTCCGAGAATGTGCCCCATCTACTTGACAATGAAGAAATTCATCTGAAAGTCTAACAGACTGTTCAGTCACCTTCGGGCCATTGGAAGATGGACAAGAAAAAACAACAAAGAAAAAGAAAACATATCATCTTCATTTTCCACTTTTGTCCTTCCCATTTTCTGGCAATGTGCTGAGAAATTTGAGCCCACTGTGTATACATATCTTCTACTGGACCATAATGATATTTTTCGGTTCTCTATGGCCATAGCGATTTGTTTCTTAATATTGACTGCCATCATTTAACCATGAAAGGTGCATCCTGGGAATATGTTAGCCCAGAAATCAAGAGTGAAGCGACTTGCCGAGCAACTTTGTAAGTTTTGGTCTGATGCTTGTTCGATTTAGAGAGAGAAAAATTATTATTCAGATTTTTTTAAGCCTAATAGTGTTTGGTAAAGATCTGACACGAACGCAAACGCCAGGCGGATTGCCATACGTCTTGGATGGGTCCCCATTCAACCACTTCCACAAAGACAAGAGTTCCATCACTTAAAAGAGTTAGAATTAATAGTGTGTATCAACAACTTTTATTTATTGATGATTGCAGTATGTTGTTTGATAATAATAGATAATGTTGTATAGGTACCCGAAACCAGATTATGTGCAGAAGTATCTCTGGCTGCTATTTAAACTTGATGTGTCAACACTATAAGACAACAGAATAATAAACGTGAATGTGTTGTGAACTTGTGATACGAAGTTCTTGACAAACTACAAATTATATTATTATGTTGTCTTACAGTGTTGACACATCAAGTTTAAATAGCCGTGACCAGAGATACTTTTGCACCTATACAACATTATCTATCATTATCGAACATTATACTGCAATCGTCTTGATACACAATATTAATTCTAACTCTTTCAAGTGATGGAACTCCTGACCTTCTAATTCTGAAAGTGGTTGAATGGGGACCATCCGAGACGTATGGCAATCCGCCCGACGTTCGTGTCAATCCAGCCTCATAAGGTTTCAAAAGTCAAAACTATGTAAAGATGAGTCAAGTTCATGTACTTTGATTCTGTCTATTGCAAATCAGAACGTTGTATTTGTCCAAGTGTCCTGACAATGTATTACAGAATATGTTTATTTTATATTAATGTTGTCTTTTTCTGTGATATACTGCCATGTGCTGGAATTATGTTAGCCAGAGGACCGTTGTGACTCACGTGATTTAAGTGAAAAAAGAGTGTCAAGGCGGTGAATTGTTAAAGTTTGCATGTCAAGAATTGAGAGCTCTTTCGTGAAGTTGAAAAAATATATTGACCTTCTTTCTTAAATATCAAATGGGCCTTTCCTTATTTACTAGCCAAAACCCGCTAAATCAATTACCAAATACTACTCTTCAACTACTACTAGTGAAATAGAGTGCTCACATTTCAGGGGTGTATCATTTCGCCTCAACTTTATGTAAACATTTATAGCGTTCTTATGAATCTAGTGAGGGTTTTCAACAAACCTGTGCAAGTTATAGGAGAGATTCCTAAGTTGAAATTGGGTCTACAAGATTGCTTTTATTTTGAAAATATGAGAGCTATTGGAGAACTCGACCCTAGCATACGAATTCACACTCAGTGTAGCAGTGCCCACATTTTTAGAACATCTTTAATTGCACAATGTCTAATTTGAGATATATAATGTGGAGAAAGAAAATAAAAATATTTTATCTCCAATAATTAATATCAATTGTGTAATAATTTAACATGTGTAAGATAATAATTGGCTTGTGAAGAGAGAAATATAAAATACCTATCAGAAAAGACGACAAAATGAGGCTCGATGAAATTGAAGAATTTTGAGAGAGGGAAGGTGTAATTGACGAGGGTAAATAATATAATATAATAGAATATAAGATGTCTAGAAATCTTTCTGCATCTAGAAAGACTTATACATATTTCAAATGTCAAATTTTAGAACTATATGGCACTAAAATAGAGCAATCAATGAACCGCTAAAAATGCTTTAAGGAGAAATTCACTTAAAGCTATTCTGTTAATAGCTTTTCGATTTGTTGGCGTTGGTAGAAATCAATGTCACAGTCCTATATGCTGGAGACCCAAAGAAAAAGTAAATGAGAAAATTAAAAAAAAAAATTAAAAAACACAATTCGACTTCATTTATTCACAAAAAGTTCCCACTTATATCAAAATTACGAACACCTACTCCAATCTACGCATAAAATTCCAGCTCCAATCCTAGGATGTCCTTTTTCATAAGATATTCTTCATGCGTAGCCCGAGTTTGATTCAAAGATTCCCCACAAAGAACTCTCTAATCTCCCAAAAATATTTCAAACTCTTCAAAGTAAAGAATTGCTTCTCCTTTAGGCCACCCAAGATAACAAGAAATGCTAAACCCAAATACCCAATCTTGCGGCTGACAAAACTTCACAAACCAAACAAACAAGCCTCAAAAACTCCCATCCCCAATAAAATTTCCCAAAGCTACAAATATTCAAATCATGATTCACAAACCGATCTCCCTTCCCGCTAATGGCACCTCGAAAACTCTCAATTTACCTGATATTCATCGTATTATACACCAACTCAATCATCTGCACTTTCACCATAACAAACAACTGCCCTTACACGATATGGCCCGGCACTCTAGCTGGCTCGGGTACACCTCAGCTCCCGACAACTGGGTTCCAGCTGAATCCGGGCCTGAGTTTTTCCATCCCCAATTATCCGGGCTGGTCGGGCCGTATATGGGCCCGAACTGGATGCACTTTTGACGAGACGGGCCTCGGCTCATGTCAGACCGGAGATTGTGGCGGGCGGCTTGAATGTGGCGGCATTGGTGCTACACCACCAGCATCGCTCTTTGAGATAACACTTGGAATTGGGGACAAGAAAGATTTTTACGATGTTAGTATAGTTGATGGGTATAATCTGCCATTAGTAGCCGGGCCAAGAGGGATTTATGGGGGATGCAATGCCACCGGATGTGTAGTAGATATCAACATGGGTAATAATCTCGTTTATTTTAAGTACCGAATCAAAAACAGTATCTTAGAAGTTAAAATTAATCTACTAATAGCAAAAAAGATGATGAAAAAATAACTATAGCTGAAATTCCAGATACCCCTCAAGCTATATCACAAAATACCTCCTCTGAGGTTTGTGTTCCTTTCAATTAGTAATTTCCTAGTGAGGGTTCAATTTGTAAAACAGAAACTATCATTTTCTGGTATATGTATGGAATTATAGTATATATAATGCGTACTTGAAATCGAACAGGTTGCCCTACAGAACTTCAGGTGATAGGTAACGATGGAGAGGAAGGGGGAGTTGTGGCATGCAGGAGTGCATGTGAAGCTTTCGGGCTCGACCAATACTGCTGTAGTGGAGAATTTGCTAACCCGAACACGTGCAAGCCATCTTTCTATTCTGGAATCTTCAAGAGAGCTTGCCCGAGGGCTTATAGCTACGCATTCGATGATGGAACCAGCACTTTTACCTGCAAGTCACCCGATTATGCTATTATATTTTGCCCCAATAGCGGGTAATATGAATCTCAGACCATTATTTCTGCTTTATCCTTTTTTCCCCCTTTTCTGGTCCAATAACATCATGGTCTCTTTGGCTTCTGCATTCTAATGAATGGTTCCTGTGCAGTAAAAAAAAGGAATAAAGAAAAGTATAATATACAGAAGAGTAGCTCAATAAATTATTTCTTATGGCAGCATGAGGAGAATAGATGGTGGGTCACAAGCTCCTGTAGATGGAGAAAGACGAAGTGAGAAAACTGAACCGGTTGTTTCATCTACGACAATCTTGATATCAATCCAAACATCAATATTTGTTCTCTTCTCTTTTGTATTGTTGGAATACCTCGTGGCTTGATACAGCAAAGAAGCTCAACACAGGGTCAAAATACGGTCAACCAAAGGGACAGATACTTTCCAAGAGAATAGAAAGCAGTGATGTTGTGGTTCAGCTCAACAACACACTCAAGAGATACTAATTCGATAAAATAGATATTCAGCAAAATGTATGAGTTATTTCTAGGAGTAAAAGAGCACTGAACTTTTCTGTGCATTAAAACAAGAGTTTATAAGTAACACAATCTGAGTAGCCTCTGTTGATATACATTCCCGTTTGCTGGTCCTCGTCGTGCCAGCATACAAACTGGTCGTTGAAAAAAATTGTATGTGTTGAGTAAGAATAAAAGGACAAACTAGAAAAATAAAGAAGAGGATGATAAAACTTGAGAGTATCATTATAGTCAAATTTCTCTTTCTCATTTCTTTGTTTTGCCCTTCTTAGAAACTTGAGGTTTCTTTTTCGGTTTCTTGGGCGGCTTTCCTGCTGCAGGCTTTCCTTTTTTCCTTGTGGGACCCTGAATATAGGTTTCGATCAATATGAAAACACCTAAGACTGAATAAAAGGAGAATGATTACAATATAATAACAAGAATCTTACGGGTGGTTTGCCAGGTTTTCCCTTGGTCTTTCCATTGGCTTGTTCCTGATCATCCTCATGTTGATCAGCGTGCACCGTGGTTTTGTCAGCTTCATCTTCCGAGTCGAATGAAAATCCATCCAATGTTCCTGTAGTCAGGCAAAAGAAAAGAACTTAATGGAAGGCCGATATCTTTTCTGCAGTCATGCTAGAAGCCTAGAAAAGCTCATTTGATTGACATGGATATAATATTATGAGAACTAAAAAGTTACAGACCTTCAACCATAGTTTCAGCCTCGTAGACATTAGATTGTGGTTTCAACTGAATGTAGTCATTCATGATTGCTTCTATCTGTTCAAATGCCATAAAATTGAAAAACTAACTGTAAAAAATGGCAACCGTTACTTGTCTGCATTTTCTTTCATTTAGACAAAAGGTAGTCACATTAATTTGGAGGCTGGTAGACAAACCTTTGCTTCCGACTGGCCAAAGCTTACCTGAAGACAAAAAAAAAATACATATATTTCAAAACAAACAGAGGAAAAAATAAAAGGAATATTCATTCCCCAAACCACAGTTTCAGTGGGATAGGCAGGGAAAAGGAGTCAAGGATGGATGGAATACCACACAGAATGTCCTTGATGGTACGATGGTTGTTTTGTAAATTGTTCCTGTAATAAAACGGTGTCATCCGGATCAGATTATCAGTGAATACAAACCTTTTCGACTTACCAGAACTGGTAAGATAGCAAAGTAGTAAATCACGAATTAAATCTTAAATGGCCTACTATAAGAGTGTAAAATGGGAGTGAAAGGTAAGTATGTCATAGAGCTGGAAAAAAAATAAAGGCTCATAATTAATATTTTTCTCGGTGGTTTTCCTGCTTCTGAAGTTGCTTAGTTTTCTTTGTCTAAGTTTTTATTTTTTCTCTGGTTTTCAGTACTGCGACTGTGTTTTGTTGCCTTCTTTTTCTGTGTTTAAGACCTTGTTGGTCGTGTAGGGAAGCCTCCGGGTTTTTCCCATGGACTTGTAGTCATTTGGCTGCTCGGATTGTATATTGTTGGCTATGGTATAATATTTGATGTTTGGTNAAAGAGGTTAGCATTCTTGTCATTACAAGAATCAATTCATCATAAAGATTTTAAAGCTTCAACAAAATAGAGTAGCAGAAAAATGAGAAGATACACATACCTTTTAAATCCAATAACATCTCATGGTTTTTTGAAGGATCCTCCGAGATTACTATCCGCCCAACAGAACCCACGTCACCACTCAAATCTATGGAATCACCTTCACACTCAACAAGTGCCTGCAAGAAAGAAGTCAGCTCATAGTATCATCTATTGATCCCCAACGCACTAAAGCAGGCATTGAAAGTTAAATAATAAATAATCATTGATGCGTATTACTGCTTGGCTAGTCAAGCATGGGATAATCCATAGATCTTTGGGCTTTGATTATCAAGGAATAGAGACTTTACAATTTAAATCTGAGTATTGCCATTCCATTGCTATTGTTATATATGTATGTGGTTACAATTATTTACTTCAAATGCAATCTGTTAATATAAAACACTAGAAATGGATATGTTTAGTGTTTACCACAAATATATTGATTCAGGGTCATGAATTACTTCAACTAACATCATAAAGTTTTGGAAATAAAGGAACTACAACATACTCTGTCATGTTAATGAGGCATGATTAGCTAACCTTTGAACGTTGAACTTTATCTGAGAGCACCAATGGCAACTTTGTAGAGGAACCCTGCATTTGCAGATAACCCATATTTAACTCGATCATGATAATCATAAATTTCCGCTCGCTACTAAAGCTTCTGACCTGAGGCCCAGGATGCTTCCCGCTGTTACCTTCCTTCACAAAATTGTCCTTAGTATCATTCTCTGATTTATGAGGAAAAAGAAAAAAGAAAAAAAGAAAAATTAGATGGAGGATAAACATGGTCTACCACCCTACGGATGCAGCATAAGTAGTTTCATCTCTACACAGTGATGTACTATGGAAATTAACAGGACCTATATATAGCCTCCTCACCATCTTTTATACTACTGTTTATATTCTTCGTATTTGGAGTTTTCTCATCCACTTTTTCCAGCTGTTTTGTGGGCGATTTCACCTTTGAGGCCTGAGCCTTTGCAGATTTGTCAACATGGACAAGGGGAGAATTATCAGATTCCTTTCTGTTTTCCACGATAAGATCTTCATCTGGAGATATTTCTCTCTTAGTGGCTTTATCCTCTTTAGCAGGTCGGGCATTTGGAGTAGACTCGGAATCAGAGGACAATGACCAAATTGAATGTTTCTGCTCGAATTTAAGAAACGTATATTTGCAGCAGGTGTTAGTCCTTGTCGCAATACAGAAGTTTTTGAGACAAAGTCATTATGAGTACTACATTACCTAAAACGACAAATCTGAAGTATTGCAGGAAGAAAATAAAAATGCGAACAACTCAGCTCACATGGGTAATTTGTTACACTGACATGATTTTGACCTTCCTTAATCATGACACCACATAGAAGGGAAGCGTTGAGATTCAAGTTTATGTAGACTTTGAGTTCTTGATGTAATATAATGTTTTGAGTGCACACATCGACGTTAAATGTAGATGAGATTCAAAGCCAATATTAAAAATCTCTCCAAAACTTATTTCATTTTTCTACCATAAGCTGATTTATCTACATATATCACATTTGAAAAAAATTGCAAATTATCCTTAGAAAAGTGAGACGAAGGTCCTTACATTGGAATTTCCATGTTCATTGGGTATATTTCTCCTGCTGCTGCCTTTCCCTTTGACCCTCTTTCCTGCATAATTCAATGAATTGACTGCTGTCAAGAACTACTCTTGAATCAGCCGTTCATCTTTTTAGACTTTAAACAAAAGTAAAATGAAAATCAAAATGCACCAAAAATTGATATGTTTCCAAAATATAGTAGAACTACCATCTCTCTTGCTATCATCCTCGATCTTCCTCTTCTTCTCAGGTGTTTGCTTTACTTTATCATTTTTCTTGGGAGACTTCCCTTTGCCAGGCTTCGTATCTTCAGACTCTCTACCATCATCCTCATCCTTAATATCTGACACCCGTTTTGCTCCTTTTTTAAACAGTTTACTGAGGTTGATAGAATCCTCATCATCACTAGGCAGACTGTGATCTGATGGAAACTCTGACTCAGATGACAATTCTATAGTAGATTGAGTAGGCGGCTGAGAACAATTAAAAACAGATAATCAACATCCATCACACAGGCAACCTAAAAAATTCAGACTAACATTGTAACATAGTGCAACTGCAAACAAAACCCACAGCTCTGTTGTGGCATTGCATAAACATCGGTCAGAGTTCAGAAAAATATCATTGCTACAAATGAATGCCCAAGTTCGGCTGCAGGCTTCACACTACGTAATGAAATTGATTTATATTCAGATGAAGATAGCAAAAACAACTAGCACAGTTTAGAAATAACACATACAGCACAAACCATCCATACAATCATCCGCAAACACACACCTAGGCCAGTACAAGAAAGGATAAAGCAATTGCACTTGTCTGCAAATACGAAATTAATCAAATCGATTGTTTCTGGTAAAATATGCAGGAAACATGAAATTAAACAGAAGAATGAGAACAAGTGCCTGAAAAGAGCGCAGCCAATCCGGAGATTCTTCTCTAGAGTCGCTCATTAGAAGCTGATATTGTGTTCTTCGAGCTAACCAGCTGAAACCCTACAGCGGAACACCTCAAAAGCACCTGCACCTCAAAAGAAGATTAATGCATAGATTTGGGGTTTTCCCTCCATTTTTCCTTGTTATGCTACTTCTCTCTCTTTCGTTTTTTTTTTCCTCTTTTTTGTGCGAGTTCGCGACTTCCCGTTCGTTGAGATCTTGAGCTAAGGTTTTAGAATCTTCAAAATTCAAAGAGGCTATTATTGGCCCGGCTCGTTATCCTAAATGGGCCGAACCAACGAAACAGCCAAAATGTTGGTCTGGGCTTTTAAATTTAATTTTTAAGTTAGGCTGGGCCCGATTAACAATTAGGCGTTGTTCTAGAAATTAGGCTTGACGCCTAGGGCCTGAAGTCCATTAGTTAAGGAAATTACGTTTTAGGGCTTCTTACTTGTAAATCCTATAAAAGGGTGATATACGATGAATAAAAGATGGACTTTTCTGCTCTTCTGTCTCTTGTTCTCTCGCTCGTTTCTCTTTACTTTGTTTGGTGTGGATTGATGAATGCTTGAGGATTCCAATTTACAACACGTTATCAGCACGCTCTAGTTTGTTTTTGGTGTTGCCCTAGGAAGAAATCGTGTTTTTCCTGTCAAGGTAATTTTTTCTCATTTTTTGTATAATCGTGAACTGGAAAACAATTTGGCTGAAACTTCCGTTGCGTTTATCATGATATTCAAAAAGTTTCAGTGGTTAACATACAATTATATTCCGAGCATTCGTTATCTTGTTATATGACCATCCTCTCATCACTGCTTTCTGTTGTATGTGTATATTAGTAGATTTTATATGAATTTTTATAAGAAGCTTTATGGGGAATGGTTTATTTGATGTTTAATGGATCCTACCATAATCATTGTTTTTCCAGGACCATTGAATTTTAGCAATACTTAAATATTTTATTTGTATTGACTATTGAATAGAATTTCTCCTTTTACTATATACACTGTAGATGACTTCAAATGGAAATATAGTACCACATATGATTTGTCTTCTGTTTGGTCGAATGTGAAACTGAACCAATTTGATAGCTTGATAGCTTTGATGTGTTATTCTGTAATCGGCTTATATTGGTTTAGATTTGTTTATTTAATTTTATGACCATTATTATTGGATGACTGTTACAATTATGAAGCCATGTTATTTAATTGGTTGGTATATTTGTTGTACATATTTGATGCACAAATTTGTTTTGAAAATAATGACTGGTACAGTTGTTCATTGTGAACTATTTGCTGTGAAAATAATGACTCTCGTGAATTATTTCCCTTTCGTATTTTTGAAAATAATTACAAAAAGTCATCATAATCTGATACAGTTCTTCATTGTGAGATTCAACAAATTTGATTTGATATGTATTTTGATAGCCATTTTATTATCTTTTTTGAAATATGGGATAATATTGTATATGAATATTATACAAATATTTTCTGTTAATTTACTTCTTTCAATCTCAAACATCTTGTTTGTAGTAAGAATTCAGGGAATTCATTCTATTTTTTTCTAATCTTAGTACATTTATTATCATTTAGAAAATAATATCCTTGAATGATTTAATTTGCTTTGTAGAATTTGACGATGTCTGATATCACCAAAATTTGTGGTTCGTTTTTGCTTATTATACTATGATTTGATTGAGACTATTGTTATGTTTGCTTATAATATTTTACTTTTCTTTTAGTGTACCACAACCATTCATTAGTTTGCATCTAATGGAGAAAGAGGGCATTTTATGTCTGGTCGACAGTGCTACTACGCACACTATTTTGAAAGATAGAAATTTTTTTCAAACTTTAAATGAAAAGAAAGGGAGTGTTTCTACAATTGCTCATGATAAAATCATGATAGTTGGCTCCGGCAGAGCTTCTCTTACTCTTCCTAAGGGTACTGAATTAATAATTAACGATGTGTTTGTACCCTGAATCACAAAGAACACTCCTTAGTTTTAAAGATATTCGATCAAATGGTTTTCATCTTGAAACTAAGACTGAAAATAATATAGAGTATCTTCTTATGACTTACTCACACGACAGTCAAAAGCAAATTGTAGAAGAACTTCTCTCTTTCTCCTCAGGCTTGTACCATACTTACATTCGACCTTCTATTAATCATGTTGCATTGAGCTTAAAATTTAAAGACCCAAATTTATTTAAATTATGGCATGAGCGATTGGGTCATCCTGGGCTTAGTATGATGCGTCGGATTATTTCTAACTCTATTGGGCATACCGTATCAAGCAGCAGTCTCCCTTCTTTTAAAGAATTTATTTGTGATGCTTGTGCAAAAGGAAAATTGATATTAAAACCTTCACGTACTAAAGTTGGAATTGAATTTCCTATGTTTCTTCATCGGATTCAAGGTGATATATGTGGTCCTATTCATCCCACTTCAGGACCTTTTCGATACTTTATGGTCTTGATAGATGCTTCCACTCGATGGACATATGTGTGTTTATTATCCACTAAAAATCAGGCTTTTCCAAATCTCCTTGCTAAAATTATTGAATTAAGAGCTCAATTTCAATATTATCAAATTAAAACCATTAGAATGGATAATGCCGGCGAATTTACATCGAAAGCTTTTGATGATTATTGTATGTCATTGGGCATCAAAGTGGAGCATCCGATACCTTATGTCCACACACAAAATGGTCTAGCCGAATCACTCATTAAGCGCATCAAATTAATTGCTCGACCATTGTTACAAAATTCCAACTTACCAATTTCATGTTGGGGACATGCAATTTTACATGTTGCTGCCCTAATTCAAATCCGACCAACTGCATATCATGATTACTCCCCTATACAACTAGTGCGTGGTAAAGAACCTAACATTTCCCATCTGGGAGTGTTTGGTTGTGCAGTCTATGTTCCTATATCACCACCGCAGCGTACCTCTATGGGCCCTCATAGAAAGCTAGGTATATATTGGCTATGAATCTCCGTCTATTCTAAAATACCTAGAGCCCATGACTGGGGATCAATTTACAGCTCGGTACGCTGACTGCATATTCGATGAAGAGAATTTTTCGGCATTAGGGGGAGATAAAAGCTCAAACTTAAATAAATGCCGAGAAATTTCTTAGAACGAACCAAATCTACAATATTTAGATCCACGCACTAATCAACCTGAACTTGAAGTTCAAAAGATAATTAATTTGCAATATTTAGCAAATAATCTGCCAGATGCATTTACTGATCATAAAGGAGTGACCAAATCTCATGTACCTTCGATAAATGCTCCACAACGAGTGGAAGTCCCCAAGAAATCTAATATTCCTGAAGATTCTCTACGCCAGAAGCGTGGGAGGCCCGTTGGTACAAAAGATAATAATCCGCGGAAAATAAAATTTAATAAAAATATTGAATCACTCCTGAAATCTCCAGAAGAGAATCGTCCAGAACGTGCAACAAATAATAAAACTACTAGGATTGCGGAACATCCAGATCATAATATATTGGGAAATGATGAAGATCTGGTTGATGTAAATATTGAAGTAGCTACGAATTTTGTTGATACAGGAGATACTTATAATAGAAGTAACATAGTCGTCGACGACACATTTGCCTCTATAGTTGCCTTTACCATCTCTAATAATCTGGATCCAGAACCTAAATCAATTACAGAGTGCCGGAAGCGCTCCGATTGGGTAAGATGGAAGGAGGCAATTGAGGCCGAACTAGACTCGCTAAATAATTGAAAAGTTTTTGGCTCTATTGCGCGTACATCTCAAAATATTATCCCAGTAGGATATAAATGGGTGTTCGTACGAAAGAGAAATGAAAATAATGAGGTGGTGAGATACAAAGCGAGATTAGTTGCTCAAGGGTTTTCGCAGAGACCCGGTATTGATTTTGATCAAACGTATTCTCCTGTAATGGATATAATAACGTTTCGCTATTTGATATCCCTGGCAGTAACTATGAATTTAGATATGCAGTTAATGGATGTCGTGACCGCATATTTATATGGGTCATTAGACACTAATATATATATGAAAATCCCTGAAGGATTAAAGGTTCCCGAAATAAGGGAAAATGAAACACGCAACATGTATAGCATTAAATTACAAAGGTCATTATATGGCTTAAAGCAATCGGGTAGAATGTGGTACAACCGGCTGAGTGAGTTTATGTTGAAAAATAATTATGTGAATAACGACGTGTGCCCCTGTGTGTTTATAAAGAAGTCATCGAATGGTTTTTGCATCATTTCAGTCTATGTTGATAACATAAATATAATTGGCACACGAGAGGAGCTTGATAAAGCTAGCTTATGCCTAAAGACGGAGTTTGAAATGAAAGATTTGGGTAAAACCAAATATTGCCTCGGCCTGCAGATTGAGCATCTCCCTGAAGGAATTTTTGTACACCAGTCAACCTACTTGAAGAAGGTTTTAGAAAAATTCTACATGGATAAATCTCATCCACTCAGCACCCCAATGGTTGTCCGATCCCTTGAAGCGGATAAGGATCCATTTAGACCTAAAGAAGATACCGAAGAAAATTTAGGACCAAAAGTTCCTTACTTGAGCGCCATTGGCGCGTTACTTTATCTTGCAAATTGCACCAGGCCTGATATTGCATTTGCAGTAAACTTGCTAGCAAGGTTTAGTGCTTCTCCTACGAGGAGACACTGGAATGGTATTAAATATATTTTTAGGTATCTTCAAGGGTCACAAGATCTTGGTCTACTTTATAAGAAATATCAAGATATGACATTGGTGGGCTATTCGGATGCTGGTTATATGTCTGATCCCCATAATGCTAGATTACAGACTGGTTATGTTTTTCTCTGTGGTGGTACTGCAATATCTTGGAAGTCAGTTAAGCAGTCCATGGTTACTACATCTTCAAACCACTCAGAGATAATTGCTTTATACGAGACTTCACGAGAATGTGTATGGTTAAGATCTTTAATCCAACATATTCGTGGGTCATGTGGAATTACAAATGATATAACCCCCACTGTCCTTTACGAGGATAATGCAGCTTGTGTTTTATAAATGAGTAGTGGGTACGTCAAAGGAAGCATGACAAAACACATTGCTCCAAAATTCTTTTACCCACACCAGCTCCAGAAGAGCGGTAAAATTATTGTACAAAAAGTACGATCTAGCGAGAATTTGGCAGATCTATTCACCAAATCCCTTCCTACATCTACTTTTGAAAAATACATTTATGGTATTGGTATGCGTAAACTTGGAAGACTATTGTCTTCAGGGGGAGGGACAAACTCAAAATAATCCCGAAGATTAGGTCCTGAAGACCAAGTGTTGTACTCTTTTTTCCTTAACTAAGTTTTTTCCATTGGGTTTATTAGTTAAAGGTTTTTAATGAGACAGCTAGTAAAACACATGAATTATAAATCATGTACTCTTTTTCCCTTGACTAATTTTTTTCCCCTGTCGGGTTTTTATTAGCAAGGTTTTTAATGAGTCATGTAGTAATGTCCAATGGGGAGTGTTATAAATATATGAATATGGACATTACTAATAGACAATTGGGCCTGAAGTCCATTAGTTAGGGAAATTAGGTTTTAGGGCTTCTTACTTGTAAACCCTATAAAAGGGTGATATACGATGAATAAAAGATGGACTTTTCTGCTCTTCTGTCTCTTGTTCTCTCGCTCGTTTCTCTTTACTTTGTTTGGTGTGGATTGATGAATGCTTGAGGATCCCAATTTACAACAGGATTAAGAATTAGAAGTTTCACATTAGAGATATCCATGTACATCATAAAACAATTCAATTCAAGTTGTAAAATAAATATAATTTTTATTATATACAATTTAAAAAAAAATAAGTAAATAAAATAATATAGTCAAATATCATAATAAAAATTATAGCGTTTGGCAATTGAAATATATAATTTACCTAAACACTTAAATTGGATATTAAACTCATGATTACATATGTTGAAAAAAACTAATTAAATAAATAAAAATAAAAAAAAAAAGTAAAAATAAAAGTAAAATAGTTTACTATGAAAAGTTTTTGTTGCACAAGAATTAAAGTCACTATAATTTAAATTTAATTATCAAACAACTAATATTTCATGTAGAATTATAATAAAAAATAAATTTTATAGATTAAACATTAGTTAGTTATCGAGCAATATTCAAAATATGAGTTGTTAAAAAGAGTTATAAAATCAAGATGGTCAGCAATTTAACACATGTAAGTAATTTGTGTACAAACATTATATTTAAAATTATAGATTTTTAAAATGTTTTATAAAATCATAAAGAGTAAAATCTATATTAATTCATAATATATATGCAACGAGTATTAAAGCTAGTGTGTACAACACATAAATCATAGCCTATTAGCCTCAATCTTATAATTTCACTTATGGATGACCTGTATGGCCACTCAATTAAAGATTTCACGTAATCTGTTTTTTTAATTAAGCCATTGATTAGCTGTAACACTGATATTTATCATAATACTACACGCAATGAACATAATAATTTGGAAAATGGAAATTAACTTTAATGGCAGACCAAGCTTGCTACATGAAATAAGGGATTAGTAATTAAAAATTGTTCTTATTATAAATTTCAATCTCTCTCTGACTCTCTCTTAGCTAGCAGTCTACGCAATCTCGCTCTCTAACTCTCTCATTCTCTCTCTTAACGCATCTGCCAATTTGATCCCAGGACTCTGCAGTTTTCATGGAGTAATGCTCTCTCAGGTAAGCAGTGTTTGTTCGAATTAGTTTTTTTTTTTGAAGGAATTGAGTGAATCATTTCTAGTTCATCGCCATTTTTCAAGCTCTGAATCTTAGGATGCTTGCCATTTTTATTTTATTCGAGTTCTCCCACTTTTCGCCCGATTAATCTGATAGCTGAGCTCGCAGTTATGAATTGAACAAGGAATGGGATATTCCCGAAGAAGATTCTCGATCTATGTTGTTCAATTTTAATATTTTCTGTACGGTTGGTTTATGGACTTGCCATGCCTGTTTGAATCTTAATTTTAATAATGAATCCGATGTTGATTATGAATTGATTACTGTAATGACTAGCTTTCTGATGCATGGCTGAAATTTTTTATCATGCAACATTTTATCTTCATATCATTGATTGTGCCGATTTTGCGTTTCTTTAATTTGTTTGGTTTTATGCTGTTGATTTTGTTTTGTGGTTCATTTCAGGTGTACGCACAAACCCTAGAAGCATGCATCACTGTGCTCGAGTTTGGGCAAAGCAGAAAATCAAATCTCAGGCTATTTTTCCTTTTTAATTGCACATTTTGATTGAAAGGTTATTCGTGTGTAATCGAGATCGAATTCCATGTCTCGGCTGATGGTGGCAACCCATTTTTGAGAATTATATTGGGTTAAAACCGTAGAAGTATGGATCTGCACAGTTACCCTCATGCTGAACATGGAAGGTTTGAGCAAATACTCAACCAATTTCTCTTGAAAAACCTCCACATTATATTGGACTCTAGGGTCCCTGCCGACCGGCCGCCCAGCCGAGGAGGTGATATAAAGAAGAGCGACAAATGGTTCAATTTAGTATTGGGTGACCGCCCATCGGCCATGGATAGCCTGAGCTTCTGGAACAGAAGTCTAATGGAGCCGATGATAATCGACATTATAATTGTTCAAGAACAACCGACTTCCTCATCAGACCCTACGGATATTTTCAACGAGACGGTTATTGAGAGGTGGATGGTTCAGTACGACTCTCAACGGCCAATTGCCCCACAAGCCGTCGATGCATCTCACAAAAAGACGTACAAGAAATCGATCATACTCTTGCGTTCGGTTTATTCGATGCTGAGGCTCCTCCCGGCTTACAAAGCATTCCGTAAACAGAGCTCCTTGAAACAGAACTGCGATTTTGAAATCAGTTACAAAATCTCCTCATTTAGTTCACCCTTCTCGAGGGAGGAGGAGGATTCGATGAAGAAGTACAATTTTGTCCCCGTCGATGCCCATCAAGGCCGCCTCTCTGTATCCGTGGCCTATCGTGAAGATCTATCCAATTTTAAACTCGACTCGTTCATTTCATGTCCTATGGAGATAATTACGGACTATGTAGGAAGTCCTCTCACTGACCCCATGAGGGTATTTTCGGCCAATCCACCTGAAAAGAGCCGTCCAACATCTTTCCCGACGAGAGGGAGGCAGTTGGCCCCCTCCTCACCTTTCCAGCGGCCCCATAGCTGGACGAGTGGGGTCCACAGGGATGCTTCCTTACAGCAGAGCCCACAGCCTTTTAGTGGGTCCCCTCCTCTGCACCGTTCCCCGTACGAGTACTCGCGTTCGCCTACTGACACATATATACATAGGAACCAAAATCAAAGGTTACCGATTCACCAAAAAATGTTGTCTGATTGTGATCTGCTTTCTCCTCCGTTTTCCCCTTCTCCCTCTCCTTCTCCGCCTACATACCCTTCGAACCATTTCCAGAGCCGCCCGGTTAGTATACCTCACCCGATGATGGCCAGAAGCCCAAGATATCTTTCACCCAATTTGTCCGATCCAAATAGGCATTCTCTGCCGCCGTTATCTCCTAGAAACACAAAGTATGATCCTTCATCTCATGAATCCTCGTCGTCAGGTGTGAGAAGACTTAATTCTCTCAGAGGTGGAGAATCGAGTAACACACCAATTAATGTTGGTCAGAAGGTAGTTTCTTAAACAAATAAAATGAGTGGATTGGAATCAGTAATTTCTGGTATTTATTGTTGTTTTTTAATGAATGTTTTTATGTCTGTTGTTGTTTATGCTATTATGCTAGCTGTCACGGGATGCGAAAGAGGATTCAGGTCGGTTTTCGAGTTTGCTGTCGAGTAGTAGTTCGCCACGTGTCGGCTTTTCAAGGAGCTCAAGCCGGTTGTCTTTTCAGGATGATTTTGGCGACTGTGATTTCTCATGTCCATTTATTGTGGATGATGTAGAGCCTCCTGATAGCCAGACAAGGTAATTCTGCTTACCATACGACATTTGTCAATTAATGGTTTTTTACATCGGATTTTTTCCATGTTAACCATGGAAATGGAAAATGTGACAATATCGTTCCATGGTCTACATTCTTCTCTTGGAGAGGAGGTCTAACACTGAATAATTTATCTACCTGTTTTGTTTTTTTATCAATTTTGTCTGAGAGCATGATTTAGCCATGTTTTTACAATTCTCTGGAACCGTAGTCAATATATGTGATTTCTCGTTTGATATGATGCGAAAAGAGTGACATCATTTACGCATTTGCTCAAACTTATATAGGTAGCACCAGCTCAAGCTTTTTCTTACATGTCGTTCTGTGGTTTGTTTACCCATCAATCACCTCTTTTACTGTTTTACGCATCATTTACGCATCATCAAGTCATGTTGGGGCAATTAAAGAAAACTACCATTGAAATTTGGAGTTATCCAAAACACACACAATCTCTCTCTCTCTCTCAAACACACACAAAAGGTTTCTTGAGGCCTGGATATGCTTATATTTAAACGGTGAAATGCAATATTTGTATGGATTTCAGGACTAAGGAGTGCCTTTTCAGTAATGATTTATATATATCATGTGTGGAAATATACACGGAATTAAACTTCAAATGGTCCTTGTTTAGTATTGAAATCTTTTGCAGGGTTTCTGTATATAACACAAATTTGGGAATGGTTTCTGTACTGATTTCCATTTACCGTACAGCTTAAATCAATGGTCTTCTCTTCTTATCACTTTCAACACCTTGAACATTATAATATTCTTGAATCGATGGTTTTTTCTTATCACTTTCAAACATACTAACTGAAATTGTATCTTATGATAAAATCTCCTATTCATTGACTTCTTTTTTCATTTTTTTTTACTATATATTTATGCAGCTTTTTACATCCAACACCTCATCCAATTTCCTTTTACCGTACAGCTTAAATCTCGACCGACAAAATAGTTCAGAAGTTTCTTCTCAGACATCCTCGACGGCCAAGAAATCCCAGGATGCGGCCGTGGGCGCCCTCGTTCACATGCTGAGGACAGCTCCTCCACTTCGCCAGGATTGCAGTTACTACACTTCCCACTCCTCAAATATAGTGCCCGAGGGCGAAATCGGAGGGGCAGTTTCGGAATTTTTCAAGCCTCGTAAAACTTCAGACGCGCTTGAGGAGCTCAAAGTTTACAGGGAGATGAAGGATTTATTGCTCTCGAAAACCGCAGCTAGTTTGGGGGCAAAGGAAAAAACTAAGGATCAAACTTGATGACCTGCACTAGTTTTATAATGTGAATTGCTACTTGGATGGGAATTTTTAGTTAGATTGAGCTTTAGTGGGTTGGTCCTTTCTAGAGAGGTGTAAACAGAACAAGTGAGAACTTTGTACATAATGCTTGTAAACATTTTAGTTCCTTGCTCGTGACTTAATTTCTTGGCCAAACTTACAAAAGCTTATGGGATTTTATATGTTTGAACTTAGAATTCAAATCTCAATCAAGTAAATTGACTGTTTGGGAACACTTTTTAAAAGAACTTTTGGGTCTAATGGTTCATTTGTTATACATTAAGAATTGCAAATACACCGTACAAGAATGGGAAAATTGAAGTATTCTTGAATCCTCGTCAATCCTTTGTCCATCACAGGCGCCAAGGCAGCTACTCTGCCCACACCTAATGGTCTTGTTACATTTTTTCCAGTCCACAACAGGACTACAATCTGCATTGTTAGCAGATTATAGGAGTTTAAAGTAAAAAGGATGAAAAATGTATATACAAGTGTTTTTGTAGCTAACATTGCTCAATCTTGATTTTGACGAAGGTATGGATCTATGGAGTTAGCAGAATCTGAGGCTAAGAGTAGTGGACTTATTTAAGTGGCTGCTTTTTATGCTAAGTTTTTTAAAATATCTCGAGTTTTATGATGGTGGCCCGTTACTTTAGTGGTTTGGAAAAACAACCGGGATCGTTTGTAACTAGGCTAAACTTACGGCCACTTGGTTATCTCATATTCGAGCGCAGTCGATAAATTTCACGCGCGCAAAAGTTACATACGCAGCATGAAATCGTTCGCCGCACAAAAACATTGGCCGAGAAGAAACCNAATAATAATAATAATAAACAAAATCTTGACGTCACTAGCCCTTGCAACACACGGTTCTCAACACCCGGGTCCACACCCCACTCTCCTGTTTCGCCTCACTCGAGCCCCCGACCGCCTCTCGAAACCTCGCCTTCTCACTCATCTCCTCAAACGAGTTCACAAGATTCTGCAACCTCGCCACAAACTCAATCAACAAAGAAGTAAAAGTCGCAAGCGATAGAGCACTCGCACTCTCGTACGTTCTCACCTCACGCTCGTTTAGAATAGTTTCTCCAATGAGCGAAAGCCTCGAGGGCCACATTGTTTGTTGCCTCAAAACATCATCTCCCGAGCCCCACTGTGAAACCGACAAATTTACCACGCTCGCGTTATTTGTGTTTGTGGGGAATTTAAGGTTAGGAACCGATTCGCTTAGTGAGTTTATCATGGTTTGCTGTTGTTGTTTGCTCTGCTCGTTGTCCTTGAGCTCTTGGAGTAACTCGGGATCCGCGAATTTCTCAGGTCTTTTATCGTTCTCCCAATTTTCGGCATTTACTAAAAGGTAGGATTTTTGGTCGATCATCATTTGGAGATCCTCTGCTGCATCGTGGACCTCTTGAAGGAGGTCTTGTGTGGGGGAGAGTTTTTCCATTTTCTCGACTTTTTCGCCTAGCTGGCGGAGGACCTTTGCGCCCTCAGTACCGACTCTTTGGATGCCTTCTTTGAAGACTTGCCTTAGCTCGGATGACGCCTGGGAATTCCAATATTATATTATCGACATAAGAGAACGAGAAAGTGTGAACAATTAATTGAAAAAGATTTTCTCCCTCTTTCTCTCTCCCTCTCTCTCTCTCTCACGATGTTAAATTGTATTCCCTAGAGGAAAAAGATGAGAATGGCTGAACCTTGGTTGATAACATTTATTAAGATGTTCATCGGTATTTAGCTAATCAAAAGTGGTCCAATTTACTGATAGCAAAAGTTATCATCAGTTTTCTAATGCTCAAATTGAACTCAAGAATCTTTTTATCTCATTACATGAATAACCAAAGCTCGAGCATTGTCTATATTTGTAAGCATGATCTACACCTAAAATCATCCAAAAAGAAGAACAAAAAAAAAAAAAAATTAAAATAAAAATAAAAATACCTGGATTTCTGAAAGTATACTTCCGTGCATTGCCATCACCATAAACGCACAATGCCTAAGGGCACCACTAACTTTAACATACTCACTCCACGGATAATTGAACATCTTGTAACGACCGTGAGGTGGTTCCCAAATGGCAAAACCTAACTAAAAAAACAGATAAAAAAAAGGCTAAATTTGACTTCCCTTCAGAATGTGGATTATTTTAGTGAGCATAAAAAGTTCGAACTAGTAAAGAATGTACCAAAGACTCTTCTTGGCTGGTGGACTCGACTGCGGTTCTGTATCCCTTGTACAGAGGATCATCTGAAGCCTGATAAAGTAATATCTTCGAAGGAATTCTCGTGTATTCTACACATTGTNAAATGTATGAGCTCACGATTTTTTGCCTCCACAAACTAATAATAATTTTTGCATGATTTATTACGACGACTATTCCATTGATTTTAGTCTAATTCCACACAACTACAAATACTACCCTAGAAATTGGTTTCTGTTTTACAAATGCCACACACTTGGCCTAATACAAACCCTTAAGGTGGTGTTTGGATGCAGATTTGTCCCGTTTTAACCCAACTCAAAAATTGTTTGGATATAAGTTTGTCCCAACTAACTCAACTCAGCTCAACTCTTCTACTTTTTTTATAAGTATAGCTAAACAATATCAATCAATCATCCTCACACGTTACATCATACTTAAATCACTATTCATACCACTCACATAATTTAAATTGGCTATGACTTCACATCATCTCTCTCCTACTTTTACATCACATCAAATTTAATCAATTACATTTTAAATATTATTTTAATTTCAAACCCAAAAATCATCCACTCAATCTTCTTTTTTAACAGAATAACTCAATTTAACCAACCAAAATGAGTTAAAACGGAACAAATCTGTATCCAAACACCCCCTAAGTGCCGCGTTCCTCAGGGGTAGTTTTGTAATAATCTAATACTAGAAGAGGATAGTTCCGAAGCATTTGATTCCAAACAAGAAATCACCTTCAAGAGAAGTGGCGACACCCTTGAAATTTTTCACCACGAGTTTATGCAAATCCTCGCCAGCCCAAATGGGATAAATACAAACATTTATGAGCAAACAAACAGCGGCCCCAACTGCGATTAGCAGCAATCTAGAAACAGCTGTCTGAACGAAATGTGAAGTCCCGGACACAAGAACTATACAAAAAGTCAACAGGAAAACCCGAAAACCGTACTCATACTGCTTCATGGCCGGATATAACTTCAAATAACTGGCAAAAAATCNAAAAAAAAAAAAGAATAGAAAGGAACAAACTATTAGCCATTCTTTGTGTTTGTAGACATAGAATCGCATAATATGACTGATATCAACTTTCAAGTGGCTAATAGTAAAAAGAGTAATCTTGCCTGCAATGAATATGCTGAAAACAATCACAACTTCTTGGAGTTCCCCAGCCATTTTAGACAATTCTGCAATCCCTAGAGCTAATGCCCCAGCAGATAATGTCCCTAATGCTCGATTAAACCCTTTATTTAAGGTTGCCCCTTCATAAGAAAACATCCAATCAAACAAAACACGATAACAGTTAATAAGCAAGCTACATCGATTGTGAAACCATCCAAACAAAGAAATGTTAATTACTTTTTTAATAAAGCGAAGAAAAAAAATGAGTGTTTTCAGCATTGCCCACCAAAGGAAACAACAACGTTAATTACTTTTTTGTCCATTGCAAATGGAGCTGGAAGAGTCATTGTTGACAATTCTCCTGGTATAGTGCTAATAATGGACTAGATCAAAATGGCTCAATTAAATTCTAGTGCTTCTTCAATTTAGTGAAGTTTCTAGAAAAAAATATATATATATATCAAACGGCGCAATGCACCTTGGGTCGCTACGGAAACAACCTCCTTGTATAATTACAAGGGTAAGGTCTGCGTACAACTGACCCCCAGACCCCAACCTGTTGGGAATATACTGAGTATGTTGTTGTTGTTGTTGTTTCAGCATTGCCCTCCAAAGAAACAACAACGTAAATTTTAGTATCTCCAAATGACAACTACATTCTCAAAGCATTGTATAAAAAAAAATAAAAATCAGAACTTTCCTATTCTTAATGTGCAGAATCTCAATGAGAATTCAAATGTAAAGGACAGGTTCTTCGGATTTGTAATCCTACTTTAGATTGACCTTTACATAACAACACATAAGCACTTTTGCTACTTAATTCAACAAAATCTGCACTATAAGCACTTTTGCTACTTAATTCAACAAAATCTCTACTATAAGCACTTTTGCAACTTAATTCAATAAAATCTCTAATAACTCGACTTTTAGCTTCTAGTTACCACATACCACCAACACAAGATTCTGTTTTCTACCACCAAAAAAAGAAAACAATCTTTTTGCAGAAACACTAGAACGAAATGAGTGATTTCATTGGCATAAATTACCAAATCACGTCACAAAGCGGCAGTGTTAATAACGAACACCCCTTAGCATATTAATTTTTTTTTTTTAAAAAAAACAAACACACACACATACCACACACAAACTCACCAATGCTAAACTCAAACACAACAACT